CCAACATTCTCTCGATCTAATGTGATATACAAAATAAATTGTCAGAATTGTAATATGCTTCCTATGTCGGACAAACCAAAAGATTGTTAAAGACTAGAATTAGTGAACATCGCAACAACATTAACAGAAATAAAAAAACACAGACGGTTATCACTGAGCATAGGATTGAATATAATTACGATTTTGATTGGAATAAAATTATGATACTTGATGAAGAAAGGGGTTACAATAAAAGACTAATTTCTGAAGCTATTTTTATTAAAAAACAAAAAATGGATTAAATTTACAAAATGATACTGAATTATTGAACCCTCTTTATTATGATTTGGTCACGAAAGATTGAATTTTCCATGTTTTAAATAAAAATTTAAGCAGGAATTTTTATAGTTTTAAATAGGGGCTTTCATCTGGTTAATGAGTATAGTGATTTTTATTTTATATTGTGACTAGTACTTTATTTATTGGAATATTCCTACACATTTATACTTGCTAAGTGACTCTCAGTCTTGACATTTATCTGTTATCACATCATTTTTGTAACAGACCATCGTTAAACTGAATCCATGTAAGTTTATTTCTAATTGACCTATAATAACTTTTAATTTTTATTTTTATTATAGACTATATTAATTTTTTGTATACTTTACAATTTTAGTGAATAAATTCTAATAAGTACGCTTGTTATATTCGACAAAATACAACAGACATTAAAGAAGAATTCAAACATTGATAATAGCTTAACGATGATCTGACGACTTGAATTTTATATTAACTCAATTTTCGTACTGAATGCATCTTCATTTTCATTTACACTGAAGAGGATCCAATACCAGGGTTGAAACGTTCGTCTGTATTTAATCCAATTATAATATATATTATTACACATACGAAGAACTTGTGTTGGCTCATATTGGCTTATCATATTTATTTGTCTATCTGTAGGAGCCTTTACTTTTTGTTTAAATTTTATTAAGTATATTAATATTCAATCTGATTTGGTAATTTCATTTGGATGTAAAGTTAGAATTTGACTATTAATCTTAAGTATTGATTTGAAATCGGTGAATGTGATCTACACCGTGATCTAACGTGATGCAATATCAACCATTCCATAGGGATGGAGGATCCATATTGCAGTTCTTGCGCATATATTTTCGAACTCTCATTTATATACGGAATTACAAAAATTTTTTTCGATAGTAATATAGAATTTGAATTATTTACGGATATCCAAACGAGAAGTACCTATATGATGTACTATATAGTGATGCGTAACAAGCATGTGAAAAGTTTTTAACTCATACGTTTTTGCGTATATAAAGTTAAATTAGTTTTTATTTATAACATTTTTTGTGAATAAAATAAAATAAATATTCTTTGTTCAGTGCTTAATTTCGAGTTATGTGTAAATTGAATTTGTATTTTGTTATGCAGAAAGGGAATGTAATCAAACAGAAAATCGAAAATATAGATTCTGCGTCAAAAAGCGATAATAAAAATTATATAATTTTATAACATTTTAACAGTCAGCACGACTGATGTATAAATGTAACAATTTATTGAATAAGTTTATAAAATAATTTATAAATAATAAAATAACTTTATGAAATAAACTTTCTATAGATACATATAATTTTATATAATATTAACTAAATGCAATAATTGAAATGTAATAATTCGTATTAATTGCGGCAGAAAGTAGATACTCTGTTGTCTTATTTCGTATATAGTTCATATGAACGAGTAAATTAACAATGTAAATGATAAAATCTTATGTATCGTATATTTTATGCACAACGTTTTATGCTGTAACTCGAGACGAAGAACGATTGCTATTCTGACGAATAACTAATGAAAATGGTGTTTCCATAACAGTTCGACATTGTGCGGCAAATATTACCAACATTAGATGAACATTATTTAAATCATCTAACTTGTGAAGTTTGTATCTTCGCATTTTTTGATTCAATCAAAAAATCACTATTTTATTTTTTATATATACAATTTATATATACAATTAATTTATACAATGTATACACAATTACGTATATATGTATATAATATACAATAATATACATATTTACATATATCATCCCAGTAAGCAAGAAACATTTTGGAATATTTCAGCAACATTGTAGCAATGTTACAACGTTGTTGTATATAGAATAGTAGAAATATTAAAGATCTATGGTATACAAGTGTATTTCGAGGAAGTATAAACATATAAATATGGATTTGTTATAATTCTACTTCACAAACACTTAAATTTTGATATACTAGTAGCGTGATGAATGTGAGTATATAAATATAAAGATGTACTCGTAATACGTGCTTATGTTGCAGAAGAAAAAGTATAATATGGCAGGAATACGCACAAAAAAGAGAAAAACATAATTTTATACTTACATATAATAACAAATTGTAAAGTACGATATTATTTTCCAGATATACTTATTTGCATTTTATAAGCTGTGCTTTCTCTTATGTTAGTCGTGTCTAGGATAATTGTATTTATGTTTTCTGGAGTATATATACGTGTACAAAGAAAAAGTTGTATAAGTTTGTAATATAAAACAAAATATAAAATTGTATTTAAAGTATTGCAAAGAGAAAACGAGGAAGACAGGAAAAAAATGCTAAACTAATATTTAATCAGAATAGAAAAAACATGACAAAATGTTATTACTTAATGATAACCATAATAATTTTAGCTATCATAAAAGAAAACAATTATTGTTTATATAAACGAAGTAGTATAGTGTTCACATAAAAGAATTTGTGTGTGCGCGCGCGCACGCTAATTATTATTTAAAGAATATAACATAAATTTTATTATATCTTTTATAATTTCTTTTGAAAATCTAGTGTTATTCATTTCTTAGGACAGTTAAAGGATTACAGTAAAATATATTTAAATTCATGTACACGTTAAAAGAATAAGTTCGAAAAAGCATTATCTTTGTATTATATATACCAATTATTTTATATATATATATATATCTTTTGGTATTATTTTTCAAATAGGAGAAACGCTTTAAATTAAGCTGCATTGCTCAAATTTTTAATACTTGAATTATTAAGTCTCAAAGTACAAAAAATACGCGAAATATACGCGAAAGATTACTTCATTACTTTACTTCTAAAAAGTAATTCTGGTGTTAAATATAAAGTACAAGTTGTACAACATTATTGATTATTCAATATAAGCTGACGAGAGTAAAGGAATTTTCAGCACTTTACTGTTACTAATATTTTATCGGTTAGCTGCAAGCCGATGAGAACTTTTCATCGCTGCTATTTCCTGAGAACTAACTTTCTGGCAGTGAAAGATAGCTTTGTTCGTAGAAAATACGATGATCACGAGACGCTTGGGAAATCGAGGAAACAATTTTCTGCTTTTTTCGGAATAAAATAAATCGTAGAATAGAATATCGACGTAATTAAACTTTCTGTGTCATCATTTAAAAAATATTAAGTTTAGATTTTGAAAAAATCTCGATTAATTGTGTAATAGCTATTAATAAATGAATTATAAATAGTATTCAATAAAATTATAAATTTTTGGTTAATAGTTAAACACACACACAATGACATATTTTTTAAATAAATTTGTATTCTGAATTAGTATGCAGAAAATCTTAATTAATAGGTTTTTTTAAATGTTAATGGGTAAAAATATTACTCTCCTTTTTATGTGAAAATGAACAACAATATGATATATTTAAAAATAAGAGAACTTCTATATCTTTTATATTAGTTATTGAGGGCAAAAATCCACGACAAGAGTGCATCGAAAGGTCTCCGATGCATTTTAACATTATATATTTTCAGATAAGTTGGATTGGATGCAAAGTTGGTGCAAAAATATGCGAAAACTGGACAGACATGCAAACTTTATTATTAGTGACAACGGGCACATTAATGAAACGATACTTTCATAAAGTTGATAGGATCGGGACATTTTCCTCTTCCTTGTTGAGTTTACAGCTAATTGTGATCGAGGTCAATACAAACAAAAACAAGAGGTTTACCCCTAAAAAGTTTGAAAGAAAATCAAGACAGCTCAATCAAAAGATGTATAGAGGAGTATGGAGGAAAGATTAAAGATAATCGTCGTACATAACGTTTGGAAAAATTTACATATAGCCACAGTGTTCTCAATCAATATCGAAGTAATCAAAAGTCTATACGTTTAAAAAAATATTAGAAATATATCGCACAAATATAGATAGAACTGTATACGTATACGCGTCTTAAGTCGAGAAAGGATGAAGATCGTCACTGTTGGAAGAACGAACTGTTTTAGACTGCTATCCTGAAAAGTACTCTTATAACGAACAAAGTGAGATTGAAAGAAAGAGAATAACTCCGTATGTAACGACACTGTTCGAAGCACCAAGTATTTACGAAAGAGTACGTGAAGGAACAAGAAAGAGAAATGTCTCACCACTGTAATTTCGTTTTGTCGTAGAAAGGCAAAACGAGTGAATCAACAATTATAGCAAGGAATATTAGTAGATTTGGTGACTTTCTCTTTTATCGATTATTTCCTATTAGCCTATTCATTATATAACATCGTATATATATATATATATACACACACACACATGAATACCATTAATTACGTCTAAATTATTATTTTATGGAACAAAAATAAACCAGATTACATAATTCTTAAAGAATTAATTAATAACTACTTCGCTTTTCTTTTGCAAGCGATAGACGAATAATTCTATAACTGGATAAGATAACTAATCTGAAAAAATAAGGAACAAAAATTCAAAATTTGTAAAAAAAAACAAAAATTTTCCGAAAAATTGGAAATATTGTTTACTGCCTCAAATTGAAGCTCAAGTAAAAAGTCATAAGAACTACAGTGGCAGCATTCAAACTAGCGTTTAAATCTTTTCGGCAACGTCACTCACTAAATCGTCACAGTGTGCGGATTGGGGCGAATCCTCGGCTACATCGGCGGACGACCGTCGGTGGGGGCCACCAGCATGTCGCAGTCCGGGTTAGGTGGACTGAACGACGCTCAAGGACAGAGCCAAGCTGGACAAACAATAGACAGTCAACAGACAACTTGCCAGAACGGTCGTGCTGAGCCACTCGCTGATACCATAAAGCAGGATTTATCTAACGGTTTCGAGAATCGAACGATGGATTACGAGAGATTTACCCAAGAAAGGACACAACATACTTCGGTTACTGGACAAGTTCAGGATCAACAGCAGCAGCAGCATCAACTTGCGCATCCGATAGCACAGTATCCGTCAGGAAGAAGGCAATCCGTAGGATTACCGGAAGATAAACATCCTTCAACGGGTCAACTGCCACCCCCGCAATATGGTCAAGACAAAAGCAACGCGGATAGAACTCAGCACGTGTCTCAAACCAGCACTCAGACGGTACCGGTGCAAGTGCAACCGCAGTTTGCACCTGATTATGATCAAAATCAATATCCACAGATACGAGGGCAATTTGAGGCTAGGTCACAAATCTATCCGCAAACGCAATATTCCGATAGAGCTGGTTATGTGACTAGAGATGTCACTTATCGTGACCCGAATCTCTATGGTCAGAGTGGTACAACCAACCCAATGTTCGCTGGACAGGGTCAATACGTAACGGTTCAACATGGTTCACAGATACCTTCGCAATCTGCTAGTCCGCAGCCACCTTATTATTCGGGTGTAGTCGTGCCACAGCCACCGGCTGGTTACGCTCAATTCGGTACTCAGCCACAATATCCTTATAGTCAATATCCACAAACGGTCATGAACGCTGTACCGTACAATCCTCACTCCGGTATCTATCCGGCTCAGCAATATCCCGGTCAACAATCGCCGAATCCACAAAGATTTTCGCAAGAAATCGGTCAATATCAGACGCAACCGATCATTCAGCCAATCGCCCAAAACGTGACCCATGGAATCGCTATCCAAACGACAGAGCGACCTTGTCGAGGACCGAAACCGATGGTGCCGCCTCGTGGCAATTCCAAAATTACCACTCATGATCCTGGACATAGAAAGTCTGCTAGCGTCGACGTGCCGGCATTACAAAAAGCAAAATATGAGTCAAACCCGACTGCTCAACAGGATTCGATTCATCGTAGCGATGGCGCCATTATTGTGACAGGCACATCAACCGGTTCGGATGGTTCGGATAGAAGATACTTAACCACGATTAATCAAAATCCTAGGACAAGGCAGGATGGTTTATATGTGGATACTAATGGTGATCAGCCAGGCAGAGAGAAACTAGTCGATACAATTGCCACTGAGTGCGGTTTATACGTGTCCAGATCGGAACATAGGAAATCCGTATCTGTCGATGTGACTACTAGCTTCCAAAGACGTAACGATACGATAACTTTTACATTTCCTGGTGATGGTAATCAAGAGATTATGTCGGGAAGAAAAACTACGACTGTAGTAGATGCAAAGAGAATTGAAACTAATCAAATTGCTGAACAAAGAAGACTGGATGCGAGTCTACGTGTATCACCAATGGCGTTTGATACGAGACAGGAAAACAGGAAGAGCATAGGAACCGACAGAAAATCCGAATGGGGTAATGTGAGTCCGAATCAAAGAAATGTCATCCCTCCAGAGAACAGACGCTCGGATTATTTTGAGGAGCACCGAAGATCACCTTTGAATTTAGAAGGCAAGAGAATGGAAGATGTAAGGAGATCGCCTATGCCGTTTATGCCGATTCGTGAAACGTCTGTTGATCGTGCTGGACAGAAAAGTCCTTCTTTCGTTAGCCAAAACTTCGAGAAAACTAGACAAGAGTTAGCAATCTGGGCAGAGCAACGTCAACGGCAAGAACATAATGAAAGAAACATAATACAAGGTCCAATATTTACGACAAGTCCTCGTTCTCGTAATCCGTCAGAGGAAAGAAGAGATATCAGATCAATTCATCCTCCGGATGATCGCAAAGAATCTAGAATGTCTCAATCGGCCTTCCAACCTCTTCCTAATATTAGTCAGAGCACTATAATGGAGCAACGTCGACATCTAAGACATGTTAGCGCCGATCTGACAAAACATATGGAACTCTCGAGAAAAGATTTTGACGAGCAACCCATTACAGGTTCCGTAGTAAATCTTGGCTCGGTAGTCAGTAATGCTTCATCACAAAGAGCTAGTCCGAATCTTTGTCACCAATACCCAGCTCTCAGCGAAGCAAAATTGGACACAAAGGCCATGTTAACTGTGGTAACTGATTTTGGCGAATCGACTACCAGCAAACCAATTGATCAAATAGATCATATAATCCACAGTCACCGTAAAAGTCATAATACCTCATCTAACTTGCTCACTCATAGTAAGAGCCAGATGGAAAGCTTACAGAATACATTGGAGAATCAGAGTGAGAAAACAGACTCTCTTCACGCTCAACAACAACAATTACAGAATCAACAGAGTCTCGATTTAATCTCTGAAAAGCTAAGCCAGTTTGAGCGCCAACAGAGCGACCTTCAAGCTAAGTTGCAATGTCTTCAGAATCAGAATCAGATTTTGGACAAAGTGGCGCAGTTTCAGCATCAACAGAGCGATCTCCAAGCTCGATTTCAAAGTTTACAGAATCAAAGTCAATTGAATGATAAAGCTCATAAGATACCTAGCGATTTTGTGCAACTTCCGTTGACAAGCGATACCCATCAAGTTCAAACGAATCCTCTTTCGAATAATCAAGAACAGTCATCAGATAAAGCTTGCTCGACTCATCAACCAGTACATGGTCTTCACCAGACGCTTCTAACTACGTACTCACAGAACACCACCCTTCAAGCCTGCCAATCGTCCGTATGCGAGAAACTGACGTCTCGCGTGCAACATGACATTTCCGATTCGAATTCCATTCAGATTCCAAACATGTCGCAAATGCCGTTACCATGCCTTCCGCAATTCGATCGTGCCGACGTGTCGCGTACTTCGTTTTCCCAGTTTCACCGACTTCAGTGCCAGATCGAGAGCCCGCACGAGAGTGCTTCAACGACGAGTGCCAGTCTATCTGCTAGCTCCTTCACTGGTACGCTAAAGAAGATACCACCGGAGAAACCACCACGGACGTCCTTGATAGTGCAGTCACCAGAAACCGAGGTAACATTTAAAAAAATAGAAATATTTTTATGTGTGTAATTGTCAAAGATGAAAATTTTTTCAATTTACACATTCATTATTTTATACTTTATATTAAGCAATTAACCATGATTAAAACTTTGCTAATTGCAATCATAAATTCTAATCAAAGTGTAAATAGTAATTCACTTTAATATCTTTGTAGTCTCGCTTTTGTAGTCAGATTCAAAGTCTTTATGCGAATTTTGTGTGTTTGTATGGGTGTATGCTGCGCGCGCGGCAAAACTTTCTTTATATTATCTAGAATGTTGGAGAGAATACAAGCTCGGCTTGTGGCTGAAGAGATTGCGGCGAGTTGATGACGACGGATGGTGGAAAATAGAGATCTCCACTTGAAGTTTTTGTCGAGGCAGCCGAGTGGAATAAACTTGTTAGATATCAGATCTGATGTTGTCTTTGAAAACTTCGTTACGAGTCCTATGTACTTTTCACTCCATTTTCCGTGTCTGGTTTGTAATCTTGACGTTTTTGTCACAACTATGAAACTCACCAGCATCATCTGACAATATTAGTGTGCCCGATGAATACAAAAATTTGTAATTGAGCTCCAAATTGTATTTATTCAAAATTTTCACATAAAAAAATGTAATCATATATTCATTCAAAATTTTGTGTTTTCAAAAATATTTATTCACAAAAAAAACTATGAATATTTAATGAGTATTCATATTCATTCAAACAAAATATAAACTAAAAAAGAGAGCTGCAATAAGCAATTGTTATCCCTTAATTATAATCGGCACTTTGATGACTTTAAGTAAAAAAAATGAATTTTATTTATTTTTGTCATTGAAGTATTCAGATTTTATGAAGGAAACTTAGTAATTTTGAAAAATATTTTAGAAACACATTTTTTATTTATAAATATTTATTTGATAGAGCGCCATACATATTCCGATATAATTTCGGTTACATCACAGTAATGTTATAAACACTTTATAAGATATCTTGGACGCATCGTTTATTATGGTCTCAGGACATTAAATTCCGAGATATATTATTTATTACCAATAAAAATGTCTTTGTTTAACCCATAGTTTAAACAAGAACGCCCATCGTATAGGTCGCGGACTAAGCGCGGTATAATTGTAGCCGCATCGTTTTTATAGATTTCTGTTTTCTCTTGTAGACTTAGCTATGTGCAGGTAATACAGAGTAAAAGTGAATACGAAACGAAAATATTTGTAATCATATTTAAAAAATATTCATTCAAATGGAATGAAAAAGTATTTATTCGTATCTTGATGAATAAAAAAGAAGTGTATTTGAATGAGTATTTTCAATTATTTTTTATTCATTTATTCGAATATTAGGTGTATTCACCGGACACACTAGACAGTATTGTTATTCGATCAATCACAAATATTGAATAGTGAATGTTACATTTCCTCATTTTGCAAAAATGGATATATAAGTTCTTTTTAGTTTTTGAGTTACTGCTCGTTAATAAAAAAATATAAAGTTATCTAAACAATAAACGAAAAAAAATGGTATCTTACTTTTACAGTGAATGGAAGAAAAGTTATTTAAAAATAATGTAAATAAATCGGATACATGTCGTGCAATAAATCAATAATAGTTATTATTGGCAATATATGATAATATATGATATACATTTATATATTTGTAAAACTAGATATTAATCGCAATTGAGTACTTATTGTTAGTTACGAATAAAATTTTTATCGATTGTTACTGTATAGACTACAGAATAATAGTTCTTTTCTAAATAGAATAATAAAAATATATTTAGAGAACAAATTGATTCTTGTATATAACTCAAAGACAAAAATATTATTATTTCAAATTGTATATAAATAAATGACATTAAAATTAATTAGAATTATAGTTATATTATATTTTATGCATTGATTGTAATTTGTTCCTCTGTTAAAAAATTATATTAATTGAATAATGACACATATAATGACACGTATAATGACAATAGACATTATAATACATCCATAAATGTATCTTACTTTAGGATGTCATTTGATTATATTTTTTTTATTTGCTTTCTTCAGTGAGTAATTATTTGCAAAAAATGCATACTACAGAACTGATATGTAAAACCTCAAGAAACAATTTCATGTTTTGAATGATGTTATTTCAAGTACAAACAAAAAGCCATTTTTAAATAAATATATCTGTAATATCTGTTTTATAAAAATATTTTATAAAAGAGAATATATAAATAAATATATATTATATATATATATTCTATATATAAAGAAATTGGATTACTATAGTGAATTAATTTCATATACATGAAAAACTTTCACATTTGCCTAACCAAGAAAATATATCTTTTGCTTCAAATCGCAAGCTAGACAATAAGAAATTAAAAAGAATTCATGTTTCTGATTGTAAATGGTTGTCTTATCTAGCACCTGTGAATTAGAAAATTGTAATATGCTGCCACACACATCGTTAACACTTATCTCTTTTCTTCGTACTTTTATCGATTAAATAAATTGCAACAAAATTTACTAATAAATAATATGTAATGACAAATTTTTATTGATTTCTGTTACTGAATTGTTTAATAATAATGCAAACAAATTTATAATTCTGAGATTCTAACACGTTTGCAAATGGATACTAATTTTTTTCAGGTAATATCGAGGATGTATGTATGCGTGTGTCGAGGTATTCTCTCTCTATCGAATTCCTTCCATACCTTCATTTCTATCTAACATTCCACCCTACCCGTACCCTCCTTCTATGTGTAGGATGTCAGTGCTCCCTGCTTTCGACCAACGAATGGAAATTCTATACGGTTTGATACATTCATCTCTCGACCAAGCTCGATTCTATGAAAGCATCGTTATCGAGGGGCGGGCTTTTCAAAAATCGTTTCTTCCAGGAATTTATTTACACAGACTCGTTTCACATTCGCTGATATATAAATCTGGTTTTACAATCGTCGAATAACATACACTCATATGTTTGTATTTCAATATATTTTTACGAAATCATATAAAATTGCAATAATACATTCAGATATCGAAATGTTTATTGCAAAACATTTATACTCGCTTATTTTTTTACATATTGAAACCATTAACTATAATGCAATTCTTTAAAATAAATCATAAAAGAATAGTTAGGAGAGAGTGAAAAAATTGCGAATATGGGATAAATGCAAATGATACTATTACAATGTATTAGAATAGTACCTTTCATTTCTTGTACCCAACAATAATCTCATATGTACTACCACACTATAATACGTGATTATAGAACGTATTATACGCTGTTTAAGATAAATAGATATTATGTTTTCGATGTTTTTGATGCAAGAGAGTGCACGGGACATTTAAAGCGAATACTTAAAGGAAAGGTTAAATAAAGTTGATAATTATTTATCAATTATATCAGTCTTTAATCTTATAAAAGTTTATTTTATAACTTTTATAGCTAAATAAACTTTAAACTATAATAATTAACATTCATACATGTATTAAGGGGATCCTAAGGTTGTCTGTATTACCGATTAAATCATCAAAAATTATCAATTTCATTTAATTTGTCATTTAGGTGTTTGCAATTCTCCATTCTCTCCTTCTTTTTAAAAACAAAATATGACAATTGAGCCAAAACGCGCCACTGGATGTTATATGCGAAAACAATTTATATTCAAGTATAAATTTTATTATTTATATTCATGTAATAAATTACAATAATAAATTACTCAACATTATATAGCTCAACAAAGTCCTTTGATTCTTAGGATATTTGAATTGTTAATTCTATTGAGCCGTTTTTGTATTTTATTTTTAATTGTTAAAATACGATGAAATTTATTTAGATAAAATATAAAAATTTATTTATAAATTATTTTGTATGCAGGGTTGATTCAATAAAGAGAAGAAGGTTCTTGGTGAAAAATGAAAAAAGTATTTCGTTTCAGGAACATGATGATTTATTAGACTTTAATCGCATCAAAGTTGAAACGGACAAAATTGTTTCCGCCTTAAACTTGTACTTTTTAAATCAAAGATCAAATTAAGTTGAGAAGTATTATGATCAACGGTTTACCATTAATTAAATATAAATTGTTTGTCATTAATTAAATGTAAATGCAGTTAAATATAAATAGATACTTCGCGTATGGTGCATCAATGATGAAACAACGTTGCAGGAATAAAATAGGGTTTAGAATGCTAAAGATAAAAGGATGAAAAAATCAATCGAAATGAACTCTCTCTCTGAGTTTTCCATACATAAAAACTGAAAGCTTCGATATCTCCTTTATAACGTACTTCCCTTTACGATGGTATTATTCGGGACTTTATAAACACGAACTGGTTAACACGTATTCTCTGTGTTTCTCTGCTCGTGATTAAAAAAATCGAGGACAAGCGTAGCGGATTGTTAAATTACATGACTTTAAAGTGTGTCAGCCACGTATAACAATTACAGTACCGCGACTGTATTCTAATACCTTTGTTCTGAAAATATGTTCCTCGAACATAGAAAAGCATAGAGTTGCAGTAAGTGAAAAACTATGCGGCATGGAATCAAATAGGATCAATGCACTTGATAAATTGTTGAAATTTTTTAAAAATCGAATTCGCACAAAAATCTCGGGCTAACACTCACTCAATAACCAAAATGTATTCTTGTATTGTGCGCGGCCATAGAGTTGCCTGACACCCTAAACATGCGATGTATATTACTCGCGAAACAAATAGAAATTTTGATGAGAGTCAAACTTTGTCCTGTTAGATACATGTTTTCGTCAATTTTGCCAACGAGCGAGTATAATATTCGTAAACTCCTATTTGTTTAAATTTCAGCTTCCAATTTTTGTTTCTATTACACGATTAGTCTTGTTGTGCCTTTGTTTCGCCGGGGCGCGATCGTTAAACCAATCGGTTGCACGAGCTTTTACAATTCTGTAGTTACTCGTTAGCGAAGTTTTCGTGAAATTCCGAGCGTAACTTTTTATCGCCACT